ATGACCTGTTCGTTTGCAGTTTAATAAACTTAATAGGACTCGTGACTCTTTGGTAGTGATTTAATAATATAAAAAATGACTTATTCATAAGCTTTTAGGAGGGAACTTTATGCAGAAAGTCAAGTTTTTTCTAAGCTTGTCTTCGATTATAATACAAGTTCTTTCCATCTATGAAAAAACACATCCAGACAACAACCTTCTCAATCTCTACAGACAGATCCACACAAACATTTTTATCGATACAAGACTTGATGAAAAATCAATCAAAAAGCATCTACTTGATTAAAAAAGAGCCCATCAAATTAATTCAGTGATTATTTTATTTTACCTATTTTGTTGAAAGAAAATAAACTTGAAGTGTAACTAAAACTTCTAGTGTCTATTTTAAGAAACATACAAAACAAATCAAATTAAACATTATTCAAATATTGTAAACCCAAATCTTAATATTTTACAGAGTAAACCACAAGGGTGGTGTCTGATTGGTTTGAGCTTGGCTCCAAAGGTCAAAAATACCAAGATGTCTCAAGTTCAAATCCAAGGAGGAACAAAAATCTCCTTGTGGCCACGGAGGTTCAAATGCGAAGACTCCGGGATATCTGCAAAGCAGGTGGTTGCCCTGAGATTAATCGGCTCGCATAGCGGGTTGGATATTCAGGTTAATCAAAAAAAATATTTTACAGAGTAAATTGCAGTTTTTGTCCCTATGAATTTGTTTTTTTTTCTCGAATTAGGTTCCCAAAAAAGTTTTATTACAAGAAAACCCATGTGGTATTCATATTTGCTCGGTTTTGGTCCCTCCCACTACGACTGTTAATTTCATCTGTTAAATCAAGGGTATTTTGGTTCTTTTTTATTTTAATTTTCTTTAAAAAAATAAAAATTATTATAATTTAAAGGAAGTGTTCTTGAGGGGTTCTTTCTATATGTTTTGGGAGTAAGGGAAGTGTTCTTGAGGGCTTTGCATCTTGGATCTAAAGTCTAACTAGTGGATCTCAAGTCTTCACCAAAGGAAGCTCAATATTGGGCTAAAACCTAGATTTAGCATAAATCTAGTAAGGTGAATTCAAGTTGTTTTGTAAAAACTATGTACATGTCAAAATATTCATTTAATTTTGAACTCTTAAGATGTTTTCTTGATGTTTATCAATTGTGTCGGTTATTTGATAAAATTTGCATCTTAAGTAAATTTGTTTTTATAAATCATGTAAATCTTTAACGGTGCAAACCCTAACGATGAGCTAATCTATATTTGATAAATAATCATAAGTGTGAGTTCTTTTGATGGTCTGTCTTATAATTGAAGATTTATTGGTGTTAATGCGTTTTTAGTGTATTTGGTTTGGAAATACATATTGATTATGTTATGGGACATTTTATAGATGTAAATTATATGATTTCAATCGAAAATGGTTTGTCCCAAAATGATGGGTTTTTGAGTTGATCATGCTTTTAGAGCGTGTGTTTGCATGGACTTTGGTTAAATACGTTTTGATTGCTTATAGTGACTTTTATTTAATAGTTTATTGAGTTGTTAAACTTTCGGCTCCGTTTTGACTCAGATGACTTTTGTGGATATTTGTTCGATTTAAAGCGCTTCATGTCTAGCTTTTGGAATTACATGCAATCATAGCATATTTATTTGATAAGTAGGTGCTTTGAGTGTGTAGGTCATTCAATTGGGGTCATATAATTTTAGACTGTAAATGGATCCATAGACATAAGAATCAATCTTTGTTGGTTTAAAAGGGGATGGTGGTTCCCGTGTTATGGCTAGAAATAGGCATTGGGTCATCAGGGGCATTGTGGTGCAGACTATTGAAGTCGAACATCTGTTATTGGCCATATGGTGTAATTTTTGAGTTGGTTTAATGGGATTGTTATTCTCATATTATAGCTAGAAATAAGCATTGGGTCATCGGGGGCATTATAGAGAAGGCTCTTGAAATCGAACATCTGTCATTGGCCATATGATGTAATTTCTAGTGAACGAGCATATATCAGGGGTCTTACGCCATGAACCATGTTAAGGTTGAATTGGATGACCATTGATCCGTAGTATGTTCATTAATGTTGACATGTTTGCTCATTTTTGTGTTCATCACATTCGATGGATACACTATCCCTGCCACCGAAAGGTGTTACTTTGGATAGCGTATTATTCATGTTTTCGATGTTGTTGTGAGTATGGAGTGTATCTATAGTTTATTGTTTGTCATGGAACTTTTTCATGTTTTGGGTGTTTTGGATAATAGAGTTTTATCCATGTTTTCAGTATTTGAACATTATCTCATTCACATTTTGGTTGAGTATTGGGCCTTGGTTTCATGATAAATGAGTGTTTTGATAAATGAGATTTCATCACGAAAGTGGTGAGTTTTGGAAAGGATGTTGCTTTTATACTAAATACATTTCATTTTGAAAATTGTGATTTAAATAACATATTTCAGTTTTACCGCTTTTATATTTATGATGAAAACTACTTGAACTCACTAGGCATGTGCGTAATCATAATTCTTTTTTTATTTGTCGGCATGTGCATCAGGTCCTCGTTAGGGATTGGTAATGGTGAAACTATGAAGAACTGGGTGCTAGTTAGAGACACGAGAAATAATTGGGAAATTGAAGACGTATTCCGCATTTGGAGATAGCGACTTTATTGATTTTTAGTAACATCCGACCTTAATCTAATATTTATGTAAAGTTTGGTTTATCAATTTGTTGATGTTAAATCTAGATTTAATATTCAAAATAATTCAAATATTGATTTACAAAAAGAGATTTACCCTTTATTTGATGAATTATTAGAAATTTTAAATTAGTCGCTCTTTTCAGGTTTTAGGATGTTACAACCACATTAAGTGTTTGAAATATGGGTGTTTTTGGTCTGGTGTAGACGGTCTAACCCCCAAACCAAGCCGTAATTAAGGACTGTTTCAGGAATTTTGCAAATCGTATAGCTTGGCATGAAGTGACAAAAATCGGTCAAACTAGAGTACCAGACCACCAAATGGCAGTCTGGTATGACCGGTTTGGACGGTTCGAGACTACGATGGTCATGAGACAAGAATATATATATATATATATATATATATATATATAACCACTTACATATATTTGCTTTCAACAAAAAGCTATCCATATGTTTTTTTTTTTTTTTGAAGTATATAATATTTATATACGGCAAATGCAACAAATAAACTCACATATCTTTCTCATATTTGGTGAGGTCTGAACTCCTGACCTCTCATATTTGGTTTTTTCCTACACTAGATCAAATCACTAAACTATCAAAAACGGTCATGTTTCGTTTGATTTGACCAACTTCCACGATCCAATGGTTTTTCTGAACACCCGAGTTTGAAAATCATGGATCTGCTACTACTATACTACAAATTAAATCACATCATTTAAAGGCTTACAGTTTCTCTCGAGGAATGTATACAGGACGTTCAGAATGATCGATTCAAAAACACTTGCATATCATTATTGAGCTTATAAGCAAACTTACATGAAATAAAACATATCATAGTAAAACTCGAAATTTATGATCACAATAATATGTGTAGAGAATTAAATCAAGCATGTTATGAGAATCTCACACAACAACAAAATTGGGTTTATAGGACGTCATCAATCTCTAAGCGTCCCAATAGACCGTTTTATATGACTTAAATTATAAGACCAAAATATAAAGCGTCCTATCTAGAGGTGTTGTAATAAGTTTATATGATGTTTTAAGGACATTTTAATGCAAAATGTTGCATTAACAACTTTATAAACTTAATTTTTTATAGAAGATTTGTTTTTATAGGACAATTTTTCAAATAGTATCCTATAAAGTTGTTAATGGGACGTTTCATATTAAAAGTGTCTTAAAAAACTTATTACGATGTTAAAAATGGTCATATAAACTTATTACAACGCCTTTAGATAGGTCATCTTCCCTAGGTTTTAATACAGGCGTTACTGCCAAAAACCCTTGTGGTCATGGAGTTTCACATACACCGACTCCAGACAGTTTATGGTTGCTTGAGAATTAGTCGATAGGTGTAAACTGACTCGTATATCGGTACGTACACAGAAAAAGCTCGACATCTGTATATTGCAACTTCTTGTTATTGTTTGTATAGTGTAGGGAGTTTTAGCACATAGATTATAATCAAAGTAGGCCAAAAGCAATTAGTTGATAACAAGTGACATAAAGTGAAACCTTCCCTCCATCTTTATTCTATTTAGTTGTAAAGCGTTCTTAGATCTACAACATGCATATAATATATATATACATTCATCACCTTCTCTCTCTGCACAAAACAAAGACATACATAAACACATATACATAAAATTGATGTATTTAAACCATAAAGGTGGTTCTTGATTGGTTTGAGCTTGGCTCCAAATGTCAAAAGCACCGGGAGGTCTCAGGTTCAAATCTAAGGAGGAATAAAAATCTCCATGTGAGCCAAGGAGATACAGATAGAGAGAGAGAGAGAGAGATTGATATGCATAACTTATATATACAGATACATATATATATAGAGAGAGAGAGAGAGAGTTCGTGTATATGCATAACTTATATATACAGATATACATATACATACATACGTATAAACAACACACACACATATATATATATATATATATATTCACATACATGTATGCATGTATGTGTCTCTGTGTATATGTATATATAGAGAGAGAGATATGCATAACTTATATATACATATATATAGAGAGAGAGAGAGAGAGAGTTTGCGTTGGGCTAATTAATTAAGTTGAGGAGATTAAAGAAAGAAGCAGCTGGTTATATATATATATATATCTCGCATGTTTGCTTCACGCAATCAGTCTTATTTGGGTGTTTGCTTCTTCGTGCCTTTAAAGTCTTCAACTTTCTCATAAAACACACCTATCAAACCCTAAACTCTCTCTCTCTCTCTCTTCTCACACAAACCCTAATTAATAACTACGTGACATTCAAAACTAAAACCCACATCAAAATGAGTGCAAATCCCAGCACTAGTCACACCGGTGGTGGTGGTGGTGGTGGCGGAAGTAGCTCCAGCGGTGGGCCATGTGGAGCTTGCAAGTTCTTAAGAAGGAAGTGTGTTGCAGGCTGCGTATTCGCACCATATTTCGATTCGGAACAAATAGGTACAGCCCATTTCGCGGCGGTGCATAAGGTGTTCGGAGCCAGTAACGTGTCGAAGCTCCTCCACAATATTCCGGTGCATAAGCGGCTGGATGCGGTGGTGACCGTATGTTATGAAGCTCATGCCAGACTCCGAGACCCTGTCCATGGCTGCCTTGCTCATCTTTTTGCCCTTCAACAACAGGTAATTTATTTCATCATCTCCTTCAATTCCTTAATTCTATTCATACACTTCTTTTATTCATATAAGAAGTTAAGATATGATCACATGTGATACGAGTGCTTAAACATATATGATCAATAAATACATCCAAAACGGATGTGGATGATTTGGTGAACATGACCAAATGTCACCGGAGAAGGTTGTCTGCTATGTGTCAGTCAACACTGACATAAGTTTAATCATATATGATTACATGTGTATATCACGAGTAATCATATATAATCTTGGAACTTTTCGTATTCTCGTAAATTGATGATCTTCTCATTTGAACATAACCATATATATATATATATATATATATATATCTAATTAGATTTCGTTTTTATTGGGAAGTAATTGGGCAAAAACAACGTTATTAGATTTTCACGCAACAAAAATGCCGTCCATTTATGCGTCCAGTTCAAAAGAAAACCACAGATATTTTGAGAAGTAAGAAACTAAACTTTTAGTATATATATATATATATATATATATACACTAATAAATCTATTCATTGACATAATTAATACAAATACAATACATTATTCATCAATGAATAGATAATATGTTCATTGATAAATATAATAATTGACAATATAGATACTTCGATAAAGTTAATATAATGTATATTCATCGATGAATATACGCTATAAAATTAATTTTTTGGTTCTTAAAACACATAACTTGCAATTCTCACAAGAACCATCCCGTCGTATAATATATCTATTTTGTAATATGTTTATAATTAAATTTTCATTTTATTTGGAATAAATTATATGATGAAAATAACTTTTATTCGATTTTGAACATAGGATAAAAACCATATTAGTTATATGATACAAAGTTCAGTAAAATCAGAAGGTTAATTACCGGCTAAGTTTGTACCACATAATGCATAGATAATCAAATGTTTACTAACACGACCAAATATAACTCTTTGATTTTCATGATGTGATAAGGTTATGTGCCAATATTGTGTATATATATATATATATATATATATATAATTATATATATTCTGTTCAACTAAAAACAATGGAAATCAATTTCTATACAATTTTAGGCGACAATAACATTTATCATACATTTTATTAGTGATACTATTGGAAATATGTGTCTATCATTTATTGGTAAGACATAATTTAAGGCTTCATTTTGTTAGAAACGTATTATTTGATTTTCATAAAACGAAAGTGTACGTATCGAATTTGTATGATATATATATATGAAATTATTGGTAACGAATTTACGTATAATTTAGAAGTTGTTTCATTGTATATGTAATAACATGGCCAAAGTAACGTTATATATATATATATATATAGAGACTTGAGATCATGTGAGACCAATTGTTTTTCATGAGACCCGTAGGACCAATTTATGTTCATTGATCAAATTTATGAATTAATGATCTAGTGGTTGCAAGGTGGCAATTTCGTAATTAGTGAGAAGTCTCATGGCGTTTATAAATGTTCAGATCTGACGATTGTAAATCTAATCCAAGGGTTGAGAATTGGTCTTACGGGTCTTACGAAAAACCATTGGTCTCACATGATCCCAAGTTTATATATATATATATATATATATATATATATAGGGTTGGGTTCACGTGAGACCAAAGATTTTTCGTGAGACCCGTAAGATCAATTTATTTCATTGATCAACTTTATAACCTAATGATCTAATGGTCTAAAGTTGCAAGATGACAATTTTGTAATTATTGAGAAGTCTCGTGCCGTTTATGAATGTTCAGATCTGACGATTATAAATCTAATCCAAGGGTTGAGAATTGGTTTCACGGGTCTCACGAAAAATTATTGGTCTCACATGATCCCAAGTCTATATATATATATATATATATATATATATATATATCATTTATATTAATATACATAAAATGAGTGAGGTTCAAAAAAATTGAGGAACACCTCGGTGATCGTTCATCTATACGGTATATATGCATATGTGTATACAATTAATTGAAGATGTTCTTGTGACTTCTATGTACATGTGCATGTTATGCACGTGTATATACGGGAATTGTTACTTAGAAATTACTTATATGTACATGTACGTACTAGAAAGATTACTTACAAATTACTTATATGCACATGTACATATTATGTATATGAATGGTTACAAAGGTGTTTCTCAAGGGTGTTTCTCAAGGGTGTTTCTCAGTTTTTCTGTTTTTTTAGCGGTTTTCCTATGAATCTGACCCTATATAGAATACATTTGCTATATATTCAGTTCACGATCAAAGTAATTTTGGCTTCGAGTATGTATGTATTCACGGTCTCACACACATTCTTAGTTTCTTACGCAATTGTATTTGATCTTTGAAATTACTTTTACAAAATGAGAACGTCATGCGTCGATGTTGTGTACGTATTTTTAATGGAAATATATTGTTTTTGTATTTGAAAATAAAATGTATAGGAAGAATACGATTAATGGTTTGGTCTTAGGAATGTTATAGTTGGTTAAAGTGACATGAATATATGCTGTTTTAGAAATACGTATTGATTTTATTGGAAAATGATGCAGTCACAATTAATCAATGGGTACGTACCCTTCTCTTTTACATGCATTAACATCATGTTCAATGGAATTCCATAACATTACAAGAATATCATGCCTCAATATCATATATATATATATATATATATATATATATATATATATAGGGTATATTTCTTTTACAACCTTGTGTATTTGTACAACCCTTGCAACCCAATTAATTGAGATATTTATAGAAGTGATGAAAGTTCATTTATTATGATTTGAATATTTATGGAATATAAATAGAGTTCATTAATTATGATTAATACTTTATATTAGGAAACAATCAAAACTTCTATGAAATCAGATATTCATCAAATGAATTGGACGGTTGAGATTGGGTTGTATTGGTTGCACAAATGTCAAAGGTTGTATAATAACCAACCTCTCTCTATATATATATATATATATATATATATATATCATTTGATGATAATGTGATTTCATAGAAGTTTTGATTGTTTCCTAATATATATATATATATATATATATATATATATCATTTGATGAATATGTGATTTCATAGAAGTTTTGATTGTTTCCTAATATAAAGTATTAATCATAATTAATGAACTCTATTCATATTCCATAAATATTCAAATCATGATAAATGAACTCTCATCATTTCTATAAATATCTCAATTAATTGGGTTGCAAGGGTTGTACAAATACACAAGGTTGTAAAAGAAATATACCATATATATATATATATATATATATATGTGTGTGTGTGTGTGTGTGTGTATAGGGGTTCATTCAAGGAAGAACTTAATAGTTTGTGGTAACCGTGAGATCCAATCTCAACCACAAATCAATAGATAAATTAGGAAATTTTGAATTTTGGTAAGTTTGAATTAGAATTTTAAATCAAGGACATTATAGGTATATTCTCTTCTCTCTTCTCTCTCCGTCCTCCGTCCTCCGGTGATACCACTGTGATACCTAAAAATATTGTCTATGTTAAATAAAAGATACATTGTGATATTCAATCATATATAAGATGCAGTGTGATAACACTGTGTTACATCTCCGATCGACCACACAAACGATCTCAATGTGATACCCAAGCACATATATGATGCATTGTGATACCATTGTGGTATCACCGGAGGGCGATGGCCAGAGGACGGTGGCCGGAGAGAGAAGAGAGGAGAGATGAGAGTTCTAAAATACCAAAAATATCATTGCATTAAAATTTAAATTCAAAATTACCAAAATTATAAATTTCCTAATTTATCTATTGATTTGTKGTTGAGATTGGATCTCACGGTTACCATAAACTAATTAGTTCTCATTTGATTAGGCCCATATATATATATATATATATATATATATGTGTGTGTGTGTGTGTGTGTATTCTGGTAAAACATAAATATTTTGATTTAAATTTAAACTTTGTTTTAATAAAAAAACGACACAACAAGTCAACAGTGTCCATCGTATATATATAGAGAGAGGGGGAGGAAGTTCCATTAGGTACCAGGAACCGTATATAGCGTCTCTTGTGTCCGTTTTCATGATGAATACGTCATGTGTCGCGTTATAGATAGTTCCCGAGTTTCTAATCAATATTAGAATTCTAACAGAATTTGCCCCTGAATATGTATATGAGGCATAATCAAATGAGAATTTCAAATATTGTGATTACCGTAAGAACTTTTACTTCAAAATATTATTTCACATGTTTTTCTTTATCTAATACTAGAATTTAAGATATTGATTAATATTTATTTGTTTTACATGTACTTGATTCATAATGTAAAATATTTTCACATTTATTTTAGTGAACACAAACACGTATGAAAGTTTCACATTCTAAAACAAGTACATTTGAAACAAATAAATGTTAAGCCTTAGATATAAAAAAAAACAATTATGTAAAATAACACATGATGTATGGTTCTCATGCTTATCACAATTTTGTAGGTTTTAACACAGATATACATAAAAGTAATTTGTCTAGTATGCACATATGCATAATATACGTACACGTGCATAGAAACCATGAAACTTTTTCAATTACTTTTATGTACATGTGCATATCATACATATGTATGGTTATTAGAGTTTTCCTCGAAATTCCTTTTTTTGTGGTTTGCTCTGAACTAGTATATATGAAAATAGGCTAATGATTGTGTGAGAAAGAGAGTTAAAGTGAGAAGCATAAGAAGAGATCTGAACCATTGATCACTTTTAATCTCAAACTCACCCATGAACCAGCGCTTGATACGAGGATTGATCCGATGCATTTCATCCTAATATGCATCTAAGGGTGGAGATCTCTTCTTACCGGAATCTAACCCATATGTATAAGCGAATGATTGTATGAGAATGAGAGTTGATGAAAGAAGTGTAAAAAAAAGATCTAGACCCTTTATCACTTTTAATCTCAAACATACTCATGAATCGCGCTTGAGATC